GTTGATTTCCAACATCTGTGGGTGACTCACAAGGTAGGGAATTGGTAATTCATCTCTAAGGCTTTGTCTCCTTCAAGAAACTTGTTGAAAGATTTCTGTTTACAGGATACCTGTTTTTGAGTAGCGTGTTGACAATATAGTTGGCATTGCATATGCAATGGATCTACTTGATTTTGTTCGGAAGGTCAGGCAATTTCCCCCTTCGACGCACCCTTTTTTCCATCATTAGAACTTTTTGTATCAATTATATGCAACAATGTCAATATCATAGCATGCAGATTTATAATCACTTCAATTTTTATTTCTTTTTTTGGGAACTGGTGAGTGTGAGCAACTTGAAAGTTCTACTGTGAGAGACATGGCTACAAACCTGCCTACTTTGTGCCTGGTAACCCTTGATTTTTTTTCTCTAGTTAATATTTAATGATGTTCTTTGGGTTGATATTAACACTTTCTAACTTTTTATGACACTACCACTGGTTGATTGAGGTAGTTGCATAGTTTTTTTTTTTTCTTTTTTAATTGCAATTACTCCATTTGCGCGCAATATTATCTACATTTTATGTGAAGACATCATTTCCTTTTCGATTTTTATAATCAATTGAAGTGAAGAAGACCCTGTTTCAGCAGACTGATTTGTTGTTTTAGTAGTTATTGTCTAGGGGAAAAGAAAATGGAAAAAATAGAATGCTTCAATTATCTACACAGTAAAATTTAGAAAATTGATTTTGCAAATTCAATGTCAGTGTGAAATCTTCTTAGAGAGTTCCAGATCAGAAAGGTTCACATGGCTGTTTTTCTTAATGGATATGGCGGAACTGTTGGGGTATGTGCAAAACCTCATATTGAAACTCTACTTAAACATAATCATTCATTGTGTTGAGATTTTTTTATTATGATGAAGTTCCAACTTCTGCCTTTTTATTTATTTTTATTTTGTGACGCATGTCAACTTATGCTAACTTGTAATATCTTGAAACAGTAGGAGACAACATTTGTGATATTTTGACCTTTATTCTACAATTACATGCTAACAATGCTTCCCCTACTAAGAGGCTAAAAAACTAAACAAAATTTTTTCAATTGTAGCTAAAAGTCCTAAAGGCAAAACCTTATTCTTTATTAGCTTGTTCTTTTTGCCCACTTAAAGTAGTATTTGTTCGTTGTTTGTTGGCATCCAAATGCCATAACATAAACTCAATAAAACAAATGATGGTAAAAAGTCAAACAGGATAATATGTTGACCACTTAAAATCTAAATGGTTGGTATGACCCCTCAATCCTTAACTCATGAGCTTCTAGCATTAGGATGTTATTCAAATCTGAACTTCAGAAGGTTTGGCATGCAACACTAATATCAGGTTCAACATGGTAAAGGAGACAGAGGAGTTCCCTGCAGTTGAAACTCAAATGCTCTCTCATATGTTTCGAAATCATTTTTCTTCTAAAGTTCAGATAAGAGTGGAATATGCAGCATGAGAACACAAAAAGTCTAGAACTTACTATGCATGGGTTTTCTTTCTCTTTTGGATTGCTTATTTAACACTATTTGTGCTCATTTTATTGACTGATTGATTTTATATATTTATGTACTCATTTTTTGATGGAGCAGATAGTAACCTTAGAAGATGTGGTTGAGGAGATTGTTGGAGAAATCTTTGATGAAAATGATTCAAAGGTAAGCCTAATTACCTATCATGCAGTCTCTTGACTCTCTTCCACATGTAACTTTCTGAAATCAATGTTATTATGGGGGCATGCATTTGTTCATATAGGAATTTGCTTTTA